AGATCATATTTAGAAGGCAGCCCTTTTGTACAAAAACTGGGTGCAGTAAAGCGAATTATACTACAGTACTAGGTATATAAGTGAAAGGAAATCTGGAGGCAAGTCTGATCTAATTGTTAAGTGAAATGCTTTCTTCTCTAAATAAGAATGTTTAGGAAAATATAATTCTACAGCAGGTGACAGGACAAATAATGGGACTTGAGGCATGCTTCTTTTCAATGTGCCTGTGAGATTATGAAAATGAGCAAAGAAAGTTCCTATTGAAACTTAAGCCATACACTGAATAACTGCTGCTCTCTGAAGTAATTATTTGAAAGTTACCACTGAGGGGAAAAGGTTATTAACTGGAACCAAAAAGGTTTTTATATATTTCCATTGAGAAATACTTCACTCTTTTTTTGTCTTGTTCCCATGAGTTATGGGCAAATGGCAAATATATACTTCTGGTTTCATTTTTACCTCAACTGTTAGACCTGAGGTAAATTAATCAGAAGGACACTCAGTTGAAATGTCATGGTTAAGAAAAGATTTGAGTTTGGATTTGTTGATGTCAAAATGTAAAAACTGCTCTGGTTCCTTCTGTGCTTTTTTTACAGGCATTTTTTGTTTGAATGCTATTTGATGTAAGAATATACCGAGAAGTCATTAAAAAAAAAAGTGGCAACGAAGCCGGCTTTTTAAAACACACAATAAACACCAGAATCACTTTCTTACTTCCTGTCATTTGAGGCTGAGGAAATACATGTGGCCTCATCAAAGAAGCCTGAGAGATTTTGCGGTGTTTTTGTTATGAGAAAGATGGAACAAAGACTCAAGAATTATGCTCTCTCTCTCTCTCAAAAAAAAAGCTTGTTAACGCCGAAGCTTATTAACTTCCAGGAACTCAGGAGTTCTAGTGGTATGCAGCAACATTAGAGGGAAGGCCTCATTATTCAAATTTAAAAGAAAGGTCTTCCAGTAATATTCCAAAGCTAATGCAATTTATTGTATGCTTCATCACTACACACATGCTGGCAGTGAGACTGTTGTAAAACTTTATTCTGCTGCCTCATCTAATCGTCATGAATCAAACAAGGTTAAAATGTGCTGAGTCATACTGCCACAATTACAAGAAATGACATCACCTTGGCGCTTGCACAGCATATTCATTATTTTTCTTTCTGAAAGGTATCAACTTTATGAAACCCAAATGAGATATTTCTGTTCCTGCCAGACATGTCTATTTTTTACATGACATGCTGGAAATTAGCTTCCAGTTTCCTTTGCATCTACAGGGCTGTTTTCAGGCACTGAGGAAAGAACCTTTTCTAAGAATCCCAGGCACTGTGAATCAGAAGATTCAACCCCAGTACTTATCAAGATTTTTCAAAATGCAAGTACTGTAATGTGTGTAACTTGTGTGATGTTAGCTGTGTCACATCCTGTTAGGTAGTCAGAATTCTTTTCCAAGAGTTGCTGAATTGCAGAGCTCAACTGCAAGCTTTCCTAATCTGGTTCCCTGCAGATGTGTCAGACTAAAGTTCCCACTGTTGCCAGCCAAAGTGGATCAAAGAAATTGGAGTCTGATACATCAGGAGGGCCCAGGTTGTCCTCTTCCCTAACAATTACTCTGAATAGGATCACGTTTATTTTTCTTCCATGATGAGAATTTAAAAAACAATCAATATAAAGATTCGACTAAGAAAATCAATTATATCTAGACTGATTACACATCTGCCTTATTGATAACTAAAAATGAGAACAAATGGTCAAAACAGATGTGTCTGCTTTGTCTTCCAAATGCATAATTACATAGGAAAGCAACGACAACATGGCCTTAAGTTATAAGTTCCCATCTCTGTTATTCTTTTTTTGTAATGCAGCATTGCAATGAAGCCTAGCAGTCACTGAGGCACGCCCACAGTTGATCATTTTTGCTGAATCCTGAGCTAGCTGTCTTATCCATACCTGTACCATAATAAAACTTAGGCAAGATGAAATCTCACAGCTTCAATTCTTCATTTGAGAAACAAAATTTATTCTTCCCATATGGTTGCTGTAAGAGAACACACAATTCATATCATAAAGGACTTGTTTTTTTCCCTAATGCTATGCTAATTAGAGATCCAGTTTGGTCTAGTGGTCAAGATATAATTGAAATTGGGGAAGAAAAAAAAGTCAATGATACAATGTATCATGCCCAAGTAACAAAGTCTTCTTCCTTCCAAATCTCATACTTTATGACAAATGTAGTTCATTTTATCTCATCCAATATTTATACTTCAGGATTAGGGTGCAAGAAATTTATTTAGCTTAAATTATTGGATGGTGGTAAGGTGGGAGTAGGATGCATGGTGTCTTCGTTTCTAGCCTGGTGCCTTGACCACTAGACCAAACTGGATTTCTAATTAGCATCGCATTAGAAAAAAACCCAAATCCTATATCAAATATCAACCATACGGGGAAGAACCACTGGTTTCTCAAATAAAGAATTGAAGCTATGAGAGGTCATCTCACCTAAGTTTTATTATGGTGCACGTATGCATAAGACATTCAAGATTCAGCAAAAAATGATCAACTAGCAAAAAATTTCATATCAACAACCTATTTTTTTTAAAGAAAAAATTCATGTACATGCCTTATAAAATGACTAATCAAAAATATATGTTGTTTTTATTTTGTTAGTTAACACTGTAGTAACTCAGTTACTATAAACACTAATTTAAGTATTTATCTTAAATTATCTTCATCCTGTGAGCAGAAGAAATAGCATCACATTTGTGACATTAATCTCCTGATTTTGGCAGTAACCAAAAGTAACCATCACGTTTTATAGAAGGACGTCTGAGAGAAACTGCTCTATAATATGTATCCCAACTTTCCTCCTGAAAGTTGATGGTTGGAATAACCAAGACGCAAAAGGCTTAGTATTGGCTGTTCTATTCTCCTAAGAATGGGACTATAGTCACATAATTACTAAATAGAACTATACTAATTCATCAATTTAGCTCATGCAGTTCAAATAATGACAATATTTGTTTCATTGATGACATCTTTAATATTTTGTAATACTTTTATATAAAGTTATTTTCCTTGCTTACCCGCCAGAAATATTTTCTATTTGCATCCTTAGGAACGGTATCACTGGTATAGATTTCACCAACCAATGGTCCAAAGCGTGTTCCTTTGGGGATAATATCTTTGCTAATAACTCCAATAACCTGAAAGAAAAGGAGTTGGATTATGTGAAGAATAAATGCATTGAAAAGTGTATAGTTTAAAATGTGATTCAAACAGAAATTATACATATTGTTTGCCTATTCACTATATTACTATGAACCACATATGTTCCCTTCTACTGTATTTAGAATAACATATTTCAGCAATGAGTTGACACTGTTGTAGAAGGAAGTACTTAAAATATGAATAATATTCATAAAGATTAATTTGCTCTGTTTTTGTGGAAATATTTAGATATAGCTGTATAGATTTAATTTAGTTGTAATTCATATCACATAACTAAATTACAATAAATTCCCTTTGAAAAATGCACTGTAAATCCATTTACAGTGGTCTAGCAGTCTAGAAACTGAGAAGTTGTGAGTTCTAGTTCTTGCTTAATGAACATCATTGAGTGACTGCTTGAAGCTACGATGTTGTTGCTGACTTCACTGAAGGGAGAAAACCTTCATGCAATTGGCCAGATAAGTTTGGACAGCACATGGCATTTGGAGCGGGGCTTCCAGAGGTGTTGGACAGGAATACACATGCCATGAAAGCCACAATTTGAGGACAATATATTTACAGTGAGGCTTCTACAGGCTGTCCTCAACTTACAACCATCCATTTAGTTATTGTTCAAAGTAATAGTAACACTGAAAAAAAAAGACTAACGTTTTTCACACTTACAACCGTTGCAGCATCCCCACAGTCATCTGGTCAACATTCAGTTGTTAAGTGAATCATGCAATCATTAAATGAATCCTGCTCCCCCCTATTGACTTTACTTGCTGGGTTGTAAAGGGGGTTCGCATGACCCCTTGTTGCTGTAGCTGTCATAAATACATGCCAAGCATACAAATTTTGATTATGTGCCTGTGGGGATTCGGTGATGATCTTAAGTGTAAGTCACTTTTTTTCAGTGATGTTGTGACTTTGAATGGTTGCTAAATGGATGCTTGTAAGTTGAGACTATTTGTACCTTACTAGCTTACATTAGAATCATTGTATTTTACTATCCTACACAGGGAAAAAGATGTATATTATAATCTGAAACAGTGCTTATTAAGGGACAACCACTTGTAAAATCTCTCATATGCTTATTGTGGATTTAACCTAGGACCCACAACTTTACAGTGTAAAATATATTGGCTGTTCAAGTTCCTCTTCACCACTAATTATATCATGGACTATTTGAGTATCTTGTTACATACTGGGGATTTCCTCCCTTCCTCTTGCCTCCTCCAGTAAGTGCGCTAAATTTTAATTTTGCTTTGAATATTATGTAAACAGCAGAGTAACTTTGTAAACTAGGAACCATGAATAAGGACTTTTTGAAACTGATGTCTGTAACATAAATGGAAAGAGGGGGATGAAAAGAAGTCGTTTGTTCCACAGACTTAGTAAACATTCATGTTCAAGCTATTGAGTCATGCTATTCTCACACTATTGACTAGTTTCATTATACCTAATAAAATAATAAAAGGATATAACTGCATTATGGATCCCCTACACTTAACTTTGAAAATAAGGATAATACATAAACCAAAACACCACAGTACCACCTCCCTTTTCTCGAGTTTATATATATTGTAGAACTTCATTAATAATGAGTATAATACTACTTGTGTTTAATAGGGGAGGGATTATTGATTCAAGATAAGGTATGAGTGAGACTTTTATTTCCATCATTATTTATTTCAACTTTTATTTCCATCATTATAAACATTTGATTTTTTTTCTGTCCATCTTTTAGAAGAAATGCATATAAGCATTCCATCTATGTCACTTCTGGAAGATTTTTAAAAATGTATCTAGCCAGTGGGATCTACAATGAACACTTCTGAATCGATCAGATTTTATCAGTCCTGAATAGAGCAGTTTTTCAGTACTGAAATAATGAAAATTAAATGCTCTAGTTCAGTGCACACGGGATTGCCGGAAAGCAGAAGAGCAGCTCCATGGAGCGCACCTGCAGGAGCATTGGAAACCGAAAGAGCAATGGGCAATGGCTGGTGAGCCCAGAGAGATGGCTCTGTGTGCCACTTCCGGCATGTGCATCATAGGTTTGCCATCACGGTTCTAGAGTAAGATTTTAGAGACTAAGAGAGAGAAAAGGTTCACTTGAACACAGCCAATTTTCTCATCACTATAGCTTTATCTCTTGACCAGTTTCAGGAATTTGTTTTATAGAAAACGGTAGGTTCCACATTGTGAAAAAGTTTGAAACCCCCTACTATACCATATATATAAAGGTTACTAGGAGTTGTAGTTTTCTAATGTGTTGAAACTTCACAGAAACTACAATTTCAAGTATTATTTGTAGCATAAAGGAATGGATGTTAAACTAGTTTAAATCTGCAAGAGGAGGAAAAAAATACTGACAAAGTAGCACAAATACCTAGGATTTGGCTTGATATGATTTTTTTTTATGATTCTGAAGCAATTCTTGACATTTTCCCTTAAACTTTAACAAATTCAAACCAGTTGTGTATCTTTTAAAAACAAGTAGAAACAAATAGGGACATGCCTAATGGCAGTGTTTATTTTTACCACTCTTAAGCATTTTTCATAGAGGTGAAAAAGGCAGATGTTCTTCTGGCTTTTCCCCATCTGACTTAATTTACATTCTGTTACAGCTTTCAGGAGAAGTTTATAGCCAGTATCTGAATTATACTGAAGTATGGCTGTTTTTGCTTTTCATAGTTATAAGAGATGCACTCTCCCTTACATTTTAATTTAAACATATGTTGAAGTTTTCAAAGCATTTGGCATTTGTCAAATGAAAACAATTTGGGGATTTTTGTACAATAATTCAAAGCATGCCCAAACAATATTTTGAGGAAGGTCTTTAGAAAGAATTTAGTATGATATGTTAGTTATCCTCATTATGTGTGTGTATGGATGGGCTGGGTATATGGGGAGGGGAGTGGAATGGGTTTGTTTAATGGTACAAGGGACGAAAACAACAAAGAGGAATGTTTGCAATATTTAACCAAGCTGTAGTAGAGTAATACTTGTTAATTCCAGCAATTTCATTCGACTAAGTTTCATATTCAGATAATGGTTAAAAAAAATTGCACAGCGTTCCCAGATATTTTTTAAACACCTCATGAAAGTTTTGCAAGTTACTATCAGAAGAGAAAAGGGGAGAATGAGAGAGCAAAACTGGCATATACTACTTGCTATTGTCTATTATAATTAGCAACTCTCAGGTTTTAATTCCAACATTACATTTCTGTAAAATCTTCCATGCTAGTCTATGGCAGAAAAACAAAACAAAACAGAGCCTTCTGGCACCTTTAAAAATAAATGAATGCCAAAGTTTTCATATTCACCTCATTAGATGTATGAAGTATCATCCTGAATAAATTATAGCTATTATCAAGCATTGGATACACTGGAAGTATCACATTCTTTGAGTAGGAAAAGGTAAATGCAATCAGGGTTGAGAATACACACACCGGAATTGCAGTTATTTAGGCTTCCTCATACATATAATAACCTTTGCTGAATTAATATCCTCCATAGAAAGGATCTTAGTGGCTATTTTCTTAGTGTTAGTTATGTGTTACATTTACATTTATTCTAAAGAGCACATTAATTTTCTGAATGTGTGAATGAGATACTATGCTAAGTTACCAATAATTATTTTTTGTAGAATGGTTGCACAAAAGTTATATTTTCAGGATTTAACTACAATGTATGTCCCCAGATAATATGATATATTATGGGGAACTATAGAAATCCAGCTCTGAGCCACAAATAAGGAAATTGAGTTTCCTCATAATTTCATAAATAAGATATATCATTATGAACTGGTAGCATAGCATTTTTTTAAATGACCATAATATTGAAATATGAACAATTTTAAAAAATACAACCACAAATAAAAAAGGAATGTAAATTAAGCCTTGTTGAATTTTGAGAGACACAAAGTGATGTTTCAGATTTGTCCACTAGGTGTCCTTAAGCACATCTGCTTTGGAATAATGCTGTATCAACACCACAAATTCTCCACTAACTAATGGGAAAGGCGGCAGACCTCTGAACAGTAAAAATACATTTCTGACAAAGAAACTGTGGAATATAATACCTGTGTTTTAAAACAGAATAGAAAAGTTTCTCCTGGTGCTATGATAAGTACAATTGTTAGATGGATTTCCTCCTCTCTTAAGTTCTAAAAATTACAGAAAGTATTTGATTCCCAAAATTACTATACTAGTTCTGCTATTAGTATATGGATATAACTTATGGAATATAAAGTATAGTCATGTGTCACTGAAGGATAAGACCCTTCTCCTTCTTGTTCATATAAACCCTGAAATTGGCCTACTGAAAATGAACTGTTGGAAAACAAGACAAAGGAAACTGTCTCTTTCTACATTATTTTTTTAAAAAGCAAGTATTACAATACATTCTTATTCATTGAAATACAATTGCAATGTGTTACTAGTACTTTAGGTATAAAGTTACAGAATTGCTTCTATATTATGCTACTCTGATGTGATCCTTAAACTTAAGATTTTGGGCTGAACCTTGTTGATCGTCTTACAATCAGTTCTTTCTTATGGAAGCAACTTCGTTTTTCTTCATAGGAATGCACACTAGAATTTGACAGAGGGAACTTAGTCCTATTAATTCTCCTGAAGATTAGTGATATCCTGAATGGGCTATTAGCCTTCCTTAATTAAATAAAAATAAACTAAAAGGCAACTCTTTTTTTTAAAAAAAAGGTCACCAATTTTGGAACCAAGCCACTGTATTACTTATATAAACATTTTTATTGAAATATCTTTCCCATTTCATGTTTTATCTGTATATAGAAGCTACTTCTTTTGATCATTTCTGTGCATCAGCACCTTTTCTGTGTAACATTTTATTTGTCTGTCACTTGATACAGCCCATGCAGATTTTATGTAAGTACCAGTACTCTATATCTTTCTCTAATCCTTATTATTAACTTATTAAAATGACCCTTCATAAGATACAGGCTGAATGTAGATAAAGTAGACAAGCTATTATTTCTTTTAATGGGCACTAACTAATACCACTAGCACATATAACTTAATCGAATGACAACGACAACAACAACAGAATAACAGAGTTGGAAGGGATCTTGGAGGTCTTCTAGTCCAACCCTCTGTTCAAGTACCTGTACCTTTTCAGACAAGTGGCTGTCTAGTCTCTTCTTAGTGATGGAGCACCCACAACTTCCAAGGTAATAATAAATAAAAAAAATCAACTCAACCTGGATTGACATCCAAGGAAATCATTATTAGAAATGCCTGTTACCTTAACCTCCACTTCCCTATTTCCATGATGTCTTGTTCACGTAAGCTTTTATCTGGAACAATACCCAATTTCTTTTGTTTTCAACAACACTGGGAGAATAATGCACTGAAGAGGGCTTACATCCTATAATTTATTCTTTTTTAAAAGGGTGGAGTGAGAGATAATGTTTGCCTGTTGTTTCCTTCTTACATGAACATAGCAACAACATTTGCAAAATATTCAAGTGATAAATATCTATTTAATGGGTTAGTATACAATTTCATTAAATGTTTAGTTTGATTTTTTTATGAAGTGCCATAATCTTCTTACTGGCTGGAAGGGCGGCTTAATAATAAAAGAGCAAACAAATAAATATTGAAGTACAATTCTCTTCAAGTGCAGCTAATAAAGAGCAATATCTTTTGTGAGTCTAAATACCAGTCAGTACAAAAATACAGCACCTAGATTACTTCTTGGAATCAGTCCTATGGAACACAACCATATTATTTTCTGAAATCAAAAGTCTTTGATCTGTAATCTCTAAAAAGATGAGACAACGCTGTCATAAAAGCACGTTTTCCTTCCCACAAGCCTATATAGAAATTAAAGTCTGCAGTGGATAGGAGCTTGATATGGTCTTCTCTGCTGTGAATGGACACTGCCCAGTATCAACCTTTCCATCTGGCCAATATGTATTCTATTTGTATCCATTTATATGTTTATATTTGAGGGTTTTTTCAATAATCTGATGGTGTGTGTGTGTAGTGTGTGTGTGTGCCTATTATTTTCAAGGAGCCCAATTTGAAGATTTCATTTAAAAGGAGTGTCCATCCAAAAAGAAAACTCTACTTGTCCATACTGAAAAAAATAGAAAATACTGCATCATGAATGTCCATAGATAAATGATACACCTTTGAACGTTAAAAACTAAAGTTGCTTTAAGATGCCTATATGCTTACTAATGGAAACCATACAATGAAAAACAGCTCCATAAAGTAATCCCCAACAAAGGTCAACCATATGACACGTCTTGCCTTTTCAATAAAAGGTGGAGTTCCAGGATTAGTAAAGCAATGAGAAATAAACAAAAACAAGACACACACAGGTGCACGTACAAAACACAGGAGTATCTGTAGGCTCTAGGAATATTACTCTAAATACAGTTCCTTAATGACAGCATTAACATTTCATAAGCATATTTTTCTCCATAAAAACAGCTCTCTTCTTGCATCATCGTATGTGATCATGTCTGAGTAATCCATCCCTGAAAAATAGCAAGGCCTTTGTCTGCCAAAAGCTACAAGCTCAAGCCTACATATAAGATGCAGTTGCTTTAGATTATTTCTTTTTGCATACAATATTTTGCAGTATGCCCTAAACCAAGTTTATTAATGGACATACTATGCTATGATAATAAATATGTTCTCATTGCATTTGTGTTTGTGAATTGGTGTAAATAGTTCAAGATCTAGAACACCAAGATATTTGGGTTCTGCGCTCTGGTTCTCTCTCCTTTGTCACAAAATTATTCATAAACTCTAATACCAAATAACCTCATATTCTGCCAAATTGACCAGAGCTGATATAATAATTACAAAGCCAGCTAAGTCAGCATATTATGAACAACATACAGATATTGTATCTTAAATGGTATGTGGGACTGGGTACAATACTGCAATTTCTCTCTATTTTTCAGATAGCAAAGGAAACTAGAATGGAATGAAAAAAACTTCTCTGTAAAGAGCCATGGAATTACATTTTATGAAAAACAACTACAAATTTTGTACTTTCCTAAACTATTATTCAATATAATGGTTTAAAAATGATTCACAAATATATGAATGTTTGCCAGCATATGACAACACAGGTTTTTTTTTTAGACTGCCTGCAATGAAACAAAAAGATTAAGACTACAAAATGGATTTTACAATGGATATTAGCCAGTTGGTTTCAGGCCAATCAGCTGGATTCTGAATATATTAGTCAAAGAATTACAACTTTATTACCTAACTCAAGGGCCTAATATATAAAGGGAACACCAAAAACTTCAGTTGTTCCAGCTCATCATTCAGTTCAGATAAGAGAAGGGCAGCACCAAGAATTAAACCGTAGAGATAAAAGGCTGCCACCCAATTTCTGAATAATGTTAATAAATCACAATTTATATCAGTTCACGTTTTGTCCCTGTTTTTTAATACAAGGGTTTCCATGCTGTTTGTTTCAAGAAGAATCTTTTTAATAACTAGAAAGGAATGAATGTACACCCTTCCCTGAGCTCTGTGGTCAGTTTATTTAGCCACAGTAGCAACACAGGTTATAGCTGTTCCACCACAAGTCACAGGAGAGGGACAAAAAAAATATGGGCTGGTCCTACCATTATTAGCCAGCTGAACATCACGCCTAACGATAATAGCTACTCTATATGAAAGAATAAACAGGCAACCAATTGCTCATCTAGGCTGATTTTTTTTCTCTGCCCTTCTGAAACAACAACAAAGAATGCACCCACTCCAGAGACATGGACTAAAATATACCTGTATGTCCAGCTACCAACAGAGTTCCTGCCCTAGATAAACAACTCATTTAAACACAGGGTATTTAAATGATTTCACTTATCTGACATAATTTTATTGTTTCAGGACAAAATGGTCACTTATAAGCAATGTTATATCCTGTGTTTTACAGATGTATGTGTTTTACAACTATGCAAAACAACTAATTCTAAACTGGACAGGGTTACAATCTTGGAATTGTCGCTCATCTGATAAACCGCATCTTACACACAAATTGCATTTATACATCAGCACATATAGGATACATTGAAATACAGGTCAGGAAGTGTTTGTTCTTTTTGATGCAGTAAAATAGGAATGATACAATGATATTAAAAGGGAGGCATTACTTCAAACCTTTTCTGTGCTTTAAGAAAAAAAAAAAATGTAATGACTATTTCAAAAACAAACAAGAAATCAAAAGGGCATTTCAGGTTGTTGTAATCATTCCTGGTAAACTTGTTCTTACCTCTTTGCAATTTCCTGCATATTTGAAAATCAAGTTCCTTGGCAAAGATGATTCGGCCTGAGTTATGGTGCAACCTTCTGCAGAGCTGGGTTCTGTTTGATGATCATTTACAATGTAGGTACACTTGTCTTCAAATTCAGCTTCTGTCCATAGAGTCATATCAGCATCCTTCATGTCCATTTTCATTATCAATATTGTCCCTTTGCTCTGTCCCTTGGAATTCACAATATATGGGCTACACTGTGCGGCAGCCTGGAAAATATATATATATATACACATTTGTCATTCTCTTTTTAGTACTGCTGGCAAATAGATCTGAATGGCTATCTGGGAACACACTGAGAACATGAGCTATAAGTTGCACTTTGGGGCTGCCTTCCTTGACACACCATGTTCAATGGCTAAAGCTAGTGGGGGGGGGGAGAACAACCTTCCACATCTCTTTCAGATTATTTCTTTATTATCTGAATGTGGGGGGAGGATGGTGATCTGAAAGCCAAAAACCTGTGCACAACACAGCTTGTTGGAAAACAGCACTAAGTAAGTGTCATAAACAAGGAAAGGAAAAGGAAGGAACTGCTGCTGTCTGCGTCTGAAAGAGCTAAAAATGGAAAGTGCAGGCTGGAAGAGCGGAACCTGGCTTGCGTTTTCCAAATGAGGAAGACTGAACTTTCCCACAACTTCCAACATATGAACAACTTTTAAAAACAACATCCCCCCCCCTCCCTACCCTGTATTGACTTCCTCTTATCCTCTGGTATAGAAAGCTGAAGAAGGCTGCATCCTGTCGCTACCACTCCAGAAACAATCCAAAGTAACTAGAAATACTACTCAATTAGCATATTCTTACATATTCCAAAAAGTGTGTAAAACAATCCTGAAAATAATTCATGGCTAACAAGATGGACCAAAATGCTTCTATTTCAAATAGTGGCTACACAGTCACAAAATTCAAAGGCCAGATATAGTCTTTCATCTCAGTTCCATATCTATGGTACAGGTACCACATTAAAGGCTACTTTACAATATTTGAATATTATTATTGCATAAAGTATTATTTGTCTGCTTTTCTTTAGAAAAAGTATCACTTTAAACACAGGAGAGTAGTATTATTGTAGAATATACTATTAGAGATATATAATAATACAATTGTAACATTTAGCTTTACAAAACAATCCCTATTGTAGAAGTAGCAAACTAATTTGCATATTAAAAACAAGTTAACTTACCATTCTGTTTCCACCAAGTAAAAAGACAATGTATTAGACTATAGCTTTTCCATAAGAAAAACCCGAAGCTCCAGAATTATATTACTAATCCTCTGGACTGAGATCAAGTAGGTCATATTCCAAATTCAAAGAAATATTTTGAAAAAGGCAAAAAACCCCAAAACCTGCTTCATTCTGTATTTTCTCACAGAATTCAACTCTGGCAGGTTTAATAGTTCTTCAGATAAATGCTGATAGCACCGATTCCAGAGACTCTAGCGTAGTATGAAAAAAAGCTTCACACTTTACACGCTAGGAGAACGAAGTAATAGTGAAACTCAACTGACAGTTGCTAGTAGCAGTGAAAGAATTAATCATCATAAAAACAAAGATCCCTTGAACTTTAAGGCACCTTAGAAAGAGCACTTTCAAGAAAAAAAAACGCTTGCCATTATCACCGTGCTTCTCACTATGTTTCATTCAAAAAGCCCTCTGTAGCCATCTGAAAAAAAAAAGTTGCTTACCAAGGTACAGTCCACAAATACTTCCAGCTGGCAGCCTTGCGTTTCAGGTAAGTCTCACACATATCTAAAGAGTAAACATTTCCTCTGCCTTCCACTTGGCCCGTGGAAGTAAGACTGACTCATGCCTCGAGATTTAACTCTTGTTGCTTGGGCTGGCCTCTCGCTCACGAGTTTTCTCTCCCTGTCACAGGTGCTGCTGTTCTTACGACTTTAACTTCTTTGAAAGCCTGGAGAGCTGAGTGTTTCAGTCTCTACTAGCGAAACAGACTCTTCCTTTCTCCTCCCTGCTGCAAGTTTCCAATGAGCCAGTCATTTCTGATTTACACTCAGAGCTGTCAAGCGAAGGGGGTGGGGCTACACCTGATTATCCAAGTCAGTCAGAAGGAATTTTTCCTTTCTGAAAATCACAGCAATGCAGATTTTCCAATTAACACGTAAGCTGATTAATGGGCTGGTGGCACTGGAATTATCTTCCAAGGGAAGGGGAAATATTTGATGGTGAAAAATAATAGAAGGTGGTTATACACTGTGTAGGAACCCAGTATGAAGAATTAGATGTAAAACAGAACATTATTTCTCTATTCCTTACTTCTATCTCTAAACTAAACTTTTCAGGAACATCAGAAACCCAATTAAATTTATGTAGATGACTTTACAAGAGATGAACAAAAGATAAAAAAATGTTGTTATGCAATTTGATCCGTCATAAGCTTTTAAATTAAAAACAACACCCAAATTTTCTGTACAGCATACATATCCCCCCCTCTTTTTTTTTTACATCCCTTATTAAGATTAATATAACTTTTACTCAAGGGAAAGTGAGCGCAGGACTGCAGCCTTACCTTTGTGCTATTTTAAAATAGCATCAGTTAAAGAAGAAACAACACAGCATTGCCCTGCAGGTGTTTTTGTAGAGAGTAGTTCAAATGCTAACTTAGTCCAGAAAGAAAATCTGCATTATTAAAATTTGTAATAGACACAATCACTTAAAGAGCGTGTCACTAATGAAATAAGTATTTGTGTGTGATAATTACACAGGCATGTGTTCTTGCCATTTCTTTTCCTTCTTTCCCTATTAATGTGCTGCCTTGAAGGAAGGACATCCTGTGATGATGGCATACAATGTCCTGTTTGTCTATTATGAAGTACATTAAACCTCACATTCCTATTTCTCATTACCAAACAAACCAGATGCATAACTTCCTTTAGTGGTCCTGGCCCTTCAATGTGGAATCCTTCAGCTCACAACAGTTCTGAGGTTGCATAGCTCCATGCACAGTCACACATAATATCAAAAATACCAAGTCGGTTCAACAAAGGACAAGTCTCCTACTTTTCCTTTTTACCTCGCATCTTCAGACATGTTTATTTTACTGTGCCTTTCCTCTTGCGTAGGAAGGAACCTGTTTTGACTTGTTTTAAAAATACAAGTGAGTATATATGTGAGGATTTTTATTATTCGGAGAATCAATCTCTGATTTTGTTCTAACATACAGGCCATACTGTGGATTTCTTGAAGTCTTGAATTTCTGAAGATGAACGGGATTATTTGTTTGTCTAGATGACACAGTACAGAAAGTAGCATTTATTTGTGTAAAGACCTATTCTAATCAAATATTCACAGATCACTGGGCATTACTAAGACATAGCATCAGACAAGTACTTGATAAGTCAACAAAAGAATTTACAGAAGTTATGCAAATTATGCAATAGAAACAAACATTCAAAACAAAAGAATATGGCCATCTTGATTTTGATAATTGATGATGAATCAGAAGATTGCTACTAACTCAGTATTTTGTATTGAAATATAAAACTGCGGCTTCTATATATGAGATAACTTGCGCCTTACTACTTTCCTGAAACTACAAGTATTCGTCATATTAACACTTCAACAGTTCATTTAGTGACCGTTCAAAGTTATAACAGCACTGAAAAAAGTAACATGATCATTTTTCACACTTTTGACCATTGCAGCATCCCCATGGTCATGTTATTTATATTTGGATGCTTGACAACTGATTCATATTTATGATAGTTGCCTTGGGGGGGGGGGGTCATGAGATGACCTTTTGCAAACTTCTGACAAGCAAAGTCAACCAGATTCACTTAACAACTGTGTTACTAACTTCACAACTTCAGTGATTCAGTTAACAAATATGACCAGAAAAGTCATAAAATGGGGAAAAGCTCACTTAACAAATCTCTCACTCAGAAACATAAGTTTGGGGTTCGATTGTGGTCGTAAGTCGAGGACTACTATACTCCAAAATCTGTGGATGTGTGAAAACTGGATAAACCAAACAGAAGCTACAGATAATCTCTTTTCCATATCACCATAATAAATATAAATGGTCAATGTGGTTACTTGATTCTAATCTTGTGGAACAGCACAAGCAAGAGGGCTATTTCTGCATACT